GAAGACGGGAAGGTTGTTGGTTATTGTTTGCCTTTTTAATGCAGACTATAGATGTAGATATTGCTTTCTGTATTGACAAAGCAAGAAGCTGAGACAAACGCTGCAAAGACGAACAGGTGCTTTGTTTGTGTTGGGATTCCAAACAGCATGGTTGAGTCTTGTGAAGCATTGGGAGCGTGTGAAGGCTTGAGTGCAGGACGAAGAAGACGACGAAGAAGAGGGAGACGACGACGAAGAAAGAGGAGGAGGAGGAGGAGGAGGAGGAGCAGAAGAAGAAGAAGAAGAAGAAGAAGAAGAAGAACACATGAGTATCAGAAACTCAGCTCGCACAACGATCTGCAGATTTCCGCAGATTGCTGCAGGGAAATCCATGGCTTGATAGTTACTGCGCTTGGATGACTGGCTTCGATTTATGGTATTTCGGCTTTTTGAGTAGGCCACACGGTCTGGTGCGTCAGCAGAGTCTTTGGCTCATATGAAGGGTATTGAACCTTTTCCATAATCCTTGGCCCTTGAAAATCCCTTCAGGCGGGTTGGCAGCTACTGGGGCTCCTGGCCTTACTATTAGGAGCAAGAAGCTACTAGGGGCTCCTGGCATCGCTACTAGGAGCAGGGACGCCACTAGTCAGATCGGATTTGTGAACCGCTCAGTGTGTTTTGCGCATAGTCAGCAGAGGGGTCCGGTGTTTGTCAGACGTCGGTCATCGATTTCGGTAGGACGTCTGTTTTTGATTGTTTTCGGGTTGGTCAGTGTCAGCTTTCTTTTCATGTCGAGTTGGTCGCGCAGGGCCATACAGTGTGGGCTTTTGTTGCGGGGAGAGGCACAGAACCGAGGGCGGCCGATGGCAGTGTGAAATGGGTTTGGGTTCTTTCCTGCAAAACTCGAAGTGACAATTATTGTTTTTTTACACGGCAGCACGTAAGAAGTGATCGTCGGAGGAATATGTACCGAAGGCTCATGCCTATAACAAGAGAGTTTGCGTAATCAATGAATAACGCGAGTATGAGTTCTGTGTGGAGTTAGCGTTCTGTTCGCACTGATCGAACAATTCTTTTGAGCGATGTACGGATACTGTATGGAGTTTGGCAGTTGGAGGTGATTGAGAGAACGGAGGGGGCTGTAGATGGCCTTTTGTGCTGAAGGTTCTTTCTGCGCAAACTAGCCTAGTAGCGATGGCCTTTGCTCCTAGTAGCTTCTTGTTACTAGTCGTAATGCCCCTTTTACTAGTAGCTTCTTGTTCCTAGTAGTAAGGCCAGGAGCCCCTAGTAGCGTCCTTGCTCCTAGTAGCGATGCCCTTTGCAGCGATGCACTTGCTACTCGTGAATGCACTCGGATGTCGACAGTGCCACGGCTGGCAGGGCACGGTTGCAGCTTCTCAAGTCCATGGGCTCCACACTGCTTGTGCCTCAGACTCCCAGGACTAGCACAAGGCACAGAATTCCACACCGAAAAGGAAGCCAAACGGGCTCCTTTTTTCTAGTTTTCATGTCCGAGCTGCCAAACGGGCTCGTGTTTCTCTTGTTTCATCGAAAAATTCGGGGTAGCTGCACGAAGCAGCTCTCAGGTTGACAATCTCTGCTTTGGCAGTAGTCTCGTCGTTGCAGGCAGCGGCAGGGGTGGAACGGTGGAATATTCCGAATATTGCACGTCACGCACGTCATGATTGAAGCCAACAAGCAAGCATGGCAGGGCTGCAGGCTGCAGGGTGAAAAAAAAGCCCCAAGAGCAAGACGTGCTTGTTAACTTGTTCCTGGAGAGCTTGTAGAACCCGGTAGACCATTGCTATTGGGTTGGCTGTTGCTAGTGGGTTGGAGGATTTTGGAGGCCATCGCTGTTAGGTTGGAGGCCATTCCTAGTAAGTTGGAGGCCATCGCTGGTAGGTTGGAGGCCATCGCTAGTAGGTCGGAGGCCATCGCTAGTAGGTTGGAGGCCGTGAGGCCATCGCTAGTAGGTTAAAAGGCCATGGCTAGCAGGAGGCCGTCGCCAGTAGGTTGGAGGCCACCGCTAAGGCCATTGCTAATAGGTTGGAGGCTGTCGCTAATAGGGTGGAGGCCCCCTTGCTAGTAGGTTGGAGGCAGTTGCTAGTAGGTTGGAGGCCATGGCTAGTAGGTTGGAGGCCATGGCTAGTAGGTTGATTTGATTTTGGAGAGTTTGTGGAACCCACATCAACTCGTTGCAAAAGAGAACCACTGAGCTATTGCCTACCCGTCCTCGGTCGAGGTGGAGGATGTCCGCTCGCAAACTAGGCAGGCTCAGAGTCATCAATTGACATGTTACACGTTTCTTGTCGTTTCTTTTGGTGAGTCCTTTCTGTTTGTGAAACGCTTCAACCTTTTATCTTTGTGTCATAATTTTGTGTGTTTTCCTCTCACTAGCTCCATCGCTCTTTGACCAAAAGAACCGTTGCAAGGGAAATCTCGCTTTGCCCAGGCTCCAGCCCTTTCAGAATCTTCCCGCAGCTTCGCTCAGATGTGCTGTCGTCATATTATCATATATTTGCCTCTCATGAATCAGGTTAATTCTATTTATTTATTGTTTCTAATAGCTTCTTTTTACTAGCGATGCCACGAGCCCCTAGTAGCGTCCTTGCTCCTAGTAGTATGGCCAGGAGCCCC